CATCTTGGAGTCCAGCCTGCTCCTGCCTTGTCCCATATATTGATCAGTCACTTTACCACCACTTACAGAAGGTTGGAGATCGTCCTTATGCCCCACGGTCCCCAACCCTCAAGCCGCAGAGAGTGGGCATTCCGGAGGCCAGGACCCGTCCATCTGCCCGCGGGCACAGAGGGAGAGACCCGAGTGGGCTCCGCGGGAGAGGTGAGGGCCCGCGCGAGGCGGGGAGGGGCGCGCTTATGGTAGAGGGGTAGGAGCCCGCAGAGGCGCCCGCACCGCCAGCTTCCAACCCAGGCGAAGAAAGTGCGTGACATTCCCGTCCACACCTGATTGACAGGAGGGAGTCACGGCCCAGGAGGCGGGTGTGGGTGTGGGGAGGCGGGGACAAAACCCAAACCGCAGGCAAAGCGGGCCAGGGCTGGCTCTCCTAGACGGTCTGGGTCTGGTGCCTCCTATCCCGCCAGGCTGCCCGGCGGCTTCGCGGAGCCTCTCGGAGCCAGGAAAGGATTACGGGCGTCCCCGGCGGGGACCGCTGCCTGCAAGGAGGGGCAGGGGAGCCGGCAGTCCCGGGCGCCGCTCCCCCGCAGCCGCAGCCTCCGCCCGGACTACCTCGCGGCTCCCTCGGGGCCGTGCGCGGGGATCCGCCTCTCTGCTCGCTCCCTCCGCCCCGCGCGCGCCCCCGCCTCCCTCTCTGCCTCCACCCTCCTCGCCGGTCGGCGACCGAGCGGAGCCGGGCTCGGAGCCCTCAGTCTGCCCGAGCTGCGGATGTGGGCGCGGGACAAGCACTCGGCGCCTCCCCCCAAGATGGACAGCCGCTACACCAGCACCGCGGGCATCGGGGACTTGAACCAGCTGAGCGCGGCCATCCCGGCCACGCGGGTGGAGGTGTCGGTGTCCTGCAGGTGAGGACGCAGCCTTTCCCCTCCCTTCGCGGGCTGGTAGCGCTGGGCGGGCGCTCGGATACTCCGCGGCTTTGCGCGGGTGAGAAGTTGCCGGGTGAGTGGCCAACAGCCCGGTTGTGGGCCCGGAGCCCCCCGCGCCCCCGGGTGGAGCGGCGCAGATCGGGTAGCGCGAACTAGAAGCGAGCGCTGGGCTTTGGGACTAAGACTTTTTGTTTCTTTCTGGGAAATGCTGTAAAAGTTGGCCGGGCTGTGACTCAGCGGGGAAAACTCATGCGGCCGCCCACTTTACAAGCCCTTTTTACGTCCCAAACGCGAGCTGTGCGGTTGGCTGGTGACGGGAATCGAAGGGGACCCGCGCTGCGAAAAGCGCGTGTGGCCGCTGCGCTCGTGGCCCGGGACTCCCGCTGGCTGGCGTCAGCCGCCCTGCTGTTGCCACTGTGGGCTGCAACCTCGGCTGCTTCCTCCCCGCCTATCCGCTTCCTGGAGCCAGCCCCCCCACTCGCGCACACACACACACACACACTCACACACACACACTCACACACACACACACACAGACACACACACGCACTCATACACACACACACGCACACACTCACACACACGCACACACGCACACACACACACACACGCACACACACACGCACTCACACACACTCACACTCACACACACACAGACACACACACTCACACAGACACACACGCACTCGCACACACTCACACACACACACACAGACACACACACACTCACACACTCACACACACGCACTCATACACACACACACACAGACACACACACGCACTCATACACACACACTCACACTCACACACACGCACTCTCACACACACACTCACTCACACTCACACACTCACACACGCACACACACTCACACACACACACACACACACTCACACACTCACTCACACTCACACACTCACACGCACTCATACACACACACACTCACACACAGACACACACACGCACTCATACACACACTCACACTCACACACACGCACTCTCACACACACACACACTCACACTCACACACGCACACACACTCACACACACACTCTCACACACACTTTTCCGGGCTTCACACCTAGCGCCCGGCAGGGATTTCCGCGGCAGCCCTCTTTGCAGACGAATCTGTGCGTTACCCCAATTCCGGGAAAGTCACGGTTTTCTGTCAGCAACTAGACGCATTTGGGTGCTTGCGGCAATCGACACCCTTGCCCAGGGACTGTACCTTTCAAAGTCCTTTGCCTTGCGTGCTTTGGGCCAGTTTCCCTGTGAGTAAAGCAGCCGCATCGCCATATCGCAGATTTTGAGGAAGTGGGCGGACTAAAACTAAACTGATCAAAGCAAAAAAGGGGGGAGGATTTGCGAATTATAATTCACTCTGTTGTTGGCATACTTGGATCTCTTTCATAGGCAAACTCTTTTCATTTGTCCACTTTCGCCCCAAGATTGTTTTTAGTGTCCTCAACACCCCCCTCCCCTCCTTTCCTTAGTATACTTGCCTTAAATAATCTGATAAACATGGGGAATCTTCCATGTAAATAAACCCTGGAACTTAAAGTGCTGCCAATCCAGTGGTATTTGATTTTGAATTTTCACAAGACTGAGTCTAAAGCCAAAGGAATCATTTTCTTGGGGGGAGGGGAAAATTAAAGCACCAACAACCCTGGGCAGAGGTGTTAATTAGCTATCCCTGAAACTATGTATAATCCCGTGATTGCTTGATTCCCTCTCACTGCTGACCTCAAACTGTGGAAACAATAATGTTGATAATGATAGCTAAACATTAAGGGCTTGTCTTATTGTGTGGCCACTGTTTTAAGTGCTTCCACAGATTTCTTTCTGTCAATTGAACAGGTGAAGCTCAATGGAAAACTCTTTTTAGACATTAATTTCTAGGCCTTTTTTTTTTCCTCTCTGAAGTTGGTTTTGGATGCTAGAGGGAGCTTATTAATATATACAGATAATGCATAGTCAAAAATCCTACATTAACAGCATTTTCTATAGAGTTCTTGAACATCCTGCAAATTCTGAATGCCATGTGGCCTGTACATGGAATGGATATAAATATGTTGCAAATTAAAACTGAATTTCCCATAAGCTCTTTAGGGTGGTTATACCTTTAGAGGAATTATACCATAGCTGTTTTTTCCGCCAATAGGTTCCACATTTAATCACTGTGAGTTATTATTACTGTTGTTTTTCCCCCCTGGATGCTTGCTTGCTGTGAGTGTGCTGGGAAATTGAAGTCTATTAGCTTTAAGGCAGTTTGTTTCAGCTTGCTACCTCAGACGCTGGAAATGCCCTTGTTTCAGCCTTTTTTCATACCCCTCATTTGGTGTCTTGTTTTTAATTTTTCAAAAAGAAGGAAAAAAGTTTCAAAACAGACCCAAGTATTTACATTGTTAAGAATTGAGTCTTGTGGTGTTCTTTGGGCTTTGGCACAAGAGACCTGGTTATAGATTCTGGCTTTGTGACTTGTGTTGTTACCTTAGAGCAAGGTCTTACCTAATTAAGCTTCCTCTTCTCTAAAATGAGGATAATTATGGTATTTATCTTATATAGAGCTTGTCAAGAGTTTAATAAGATAATGACTGAAAAGTGCTTACACGATGTAGGACACAAGGAAAGTGTTAAAACTGTTGTTATTATGATACTGGCAATAGTATTTATTGAATAAATGTATTATATGATTCAGTTATGGAATTCTGTAAATAGTCCTCTTTTGAACTTCAATAAATTGGTTAAAGAAGATAGGATAGAAGCAGCCTTGAAATACCTGTTTTCTCTTTCTCTTTGTTCTTTGATGTGCATAAGAAACTTATTTCCTAGGATACTTGTGGGGATTTCACTTAGCAACAAGGCACAATTGTAGGCCCCTCAGCCTTACTATGGGCAAGCAGAGCAAAAAATTCCCTTGCCTTTTTAATCAGAGCCCTCTGGTGATTTGCTGACACTTAACAAGCAACTCAGAATAGAATCCCTTTTGATAACCTCTTTTCACTGTCTCCAATCTAAGACTTTTTAAAAACTTTATGATGTTTTCATCTTCATTTTGGGGGAGGTGAGAAAATCAACAATTGAAGCTTGAAGCTAAATATAATTCCTGGAAATCACTTAGTGTATTCACTGACCAAGTGTTTGAGTGTCTTTTATATGCCTAGCATTATGCCATGCTCCATGAGAAATATAAGAAAAGTTCTCTGAAAATATAAAATCTGGTTGGGAGAGAAACATGATATAACATGAAAATGTAGGACTGAATCCAAAGATGAGGTTCGTGCACAGGGAGGAAACAGATCAGTGTGGAACAGTGATTTGGAATATGCTACAAAGAGGAGATGGGGCCCCAGCCTGTGTTCTCAGTGGTTAGAGTGTCACCAGGTGCACTGGAGGGTCTCGGGTTCGATTCCTGGTCAAGGATAGGTACCTGGTTTGCAGGTTTGATCCCTGGCCTGGTCTGGGCTTGTGTGGGAGACAACCAATCAATGTGTCTCTCTTCTCACATCGCTCTCTCTCCCCCTCCCTATCCCTCCCACCCTTGCATTCTCTCTAAAAATCAATGGAAAAAATATCCTCGAGTGAGGAGTAACAAAACAACAACAACAACAACAACAAAAGAGGAGATGGGGCTTGAGGGGGGAGACGAGACGATGGGCATTGTTTGTGTTAGAGAAGGGATTGTGTACATGGTAGTTTTGCAGTGGCTACAAAATTGGTGTGTTAGGATGACAAGTGTACCTTCCTTGCTGGATTTATGTAGATAAAAGCTCCTACTTTTTGACATTTCTTCTACCCACTATTTAGCTCTTGGATTCATTTTTCTTTATTGTGTTAATTCATAAAATTTTAAGTCAATTGGGTTGCCTAATTAAGATGTCTATAGCTGAAATGATACAGCCTTAAAAACAAAATAACGTCTATAATATTCCCATTTTATTTTGAAAACAGATTAATTAGAATGAGGTAAAAGCAATGTGAAAAGTAATATACAGTAATCACCTGTTTTCCCAGGGACCTTAGTTTGTTGCACTAATGTGCTTTTGATGATTTTTGTCATTTTCGCTGATTGAGAAGTTAGCAATTATAAAAACAGTGAGATAATTCTGTATTTGTAGACTTTATAGGTTAGCTATCATATGTAAATCCTTTCTCAGCAATAATCCTAGAATGGTGATAAAATTAATTTTAAGCACTAATGTCTAAGGAAGAGTATAAAGTGGTAATTTATTGAGCACTTACTCTGTGCTACGCATTCTAAAAAGTCCTTTTGACTTGGCCATGACTCCTAATCTCCCAGTACTCCTCACAGGTACTCTCTGACTGAGCATCGGCTACCAAATAAGTGCTAAAACTTGTCGCAGATAAATGTGGGCTGCAAAACACAAGAGGTATATTCCCAAAGCATGTGCTGCTATCCTAGTGGACCAAATTCTTTTTGCCTACTTGGCCATGCACATGTTGCTCTCTCTGCCCTGCACATCCCTTCCTTCCTTCCCCTTCTTTTCTTGACTAGGTTGTACTCCTTCAAGACTCAGGTCAAACATCATTTTCTCTTATGATTCCTTTCCCAAGCTGGACTTTGCTGTTTTCCCAAAGTAGCTGATGGAATTTCCTGCTACACTTCAAGGTTCTTCTGGCTGGTGTACTTGGTTTTTAGAGTTTCTCCCAAAACTGCTGTTTCTTAAAATTAACCAGCCTAAAATAATCAGTATCCCCAAAGAGGCATATTTTGGGGTGGCAAACTTATCTCTGCTTCAGTAGTTGCATTATAATTCTTAGTCTTTGCATTCTTCTTAAGTTTTATCTCTTTTGTGTCAATGTTGTTGAGGTAAGAACAGCCAAACCTGTAAAGAATTTTTATAAGAATTTATTTGAGCCAAACAGAGGATATGCCTGGAAGCAAGATCTCAAATGAATGAGAAAAATGTCTCTCAGAATGACAGTCTGCAGTTTCCTTTGTGTATTTGGAATTAAGGAA